TATATATATATATGGATATATATAAAAATTTCCAAAACCAAGCTGCAAATATGAAGAATCACAAGTTATATTGTGACCACAGCTAGCAACGTTTGCTCAGGTCAAACTGCTGACTCTCCAGCTTACCTTTATTTTTCTTCTTGCTCTTTGATTGCAAAGAGGATGGCTGCTGGTATGTCTGAGAACAGAAGTAAAGGGGAAGAGAGAGCAGGCTGTCAGGATGAATCAGTGGCCTTTGTTTGCTGCAATGAATCCTGGGATACAAAAGATGACAGATCTTAGGGGAACATAGTGATGACACAAGGAGACGAGGCTGAAGATGTACACTACAGGCACAAAGGAAGAATAAAGAATCCCACTTCTCTTATTAACACCTCCTCACAAACACAAGATATGAGAACTCAACCTCATGGAGGGCGCAAGCTATTTTCACACCTCTAAACATAGAACAGAGGGATGAGAAGGAAAGTTCAGGTGCCACAACATGATGTCCAGGTGACGGAGGAAATGAGAGAGAGAGAACACGGTACTCCGTGGGTCTCTATAAATAAAGACAAATGACAGGAAGCTAACGGCTCGTTACACACTACAATTAGAAAAGTCTTTTGAAGCGTACATTACAGTTTTTTGTTGCAGCGTTATAAAAGATGGGGAACACATAAGACGTTTTGATACAAAATTGTTAAATAAATAAGAAAGTGTTACGTAAATCTCTAGAAATCTTTCACTGCTAATTGGATGACCTTTTAATTTAGCAGTTACTCGTAGAAAATATTGGAAAGATAACACTAATTATTGAAACCACGATGAACATTTTGAATAAACATACTCAAACAAGAGATGCGTGTTAGGGAATTTTTGGTCAAAGTTTATGGATGTTTTTAACTACTATGGCTGAGAATGTTAACTCTGCCCATGAGCCATATGTTTGGGTTACTAAAAAGCTGGGGGAGGCTGCAGCGTGCAGCTGACACTCCAAGGACACCTCTGAGTCTGTGAGCTCGGCTGAAATGATAAGTATATAAAAACAAGCTTCACACACAGCCCGTGCAGATTCCTGTGACTGGTCTTTGTGTGTAGATATACAGGAAGTACACACAGATATACAGGAAGTGTATTATAAGATATACTTATATATTTTATAAAACGAGAATATTTTTCTCCTACGCGTGTGTCTTTCAACTTTTTCAGGTTGTACATATGACATTTGGATTAAAACATCTTTTTAACCATACAGCATTTAGTGATTTCTGGTCCAACTCAAACATAAGTAAAATATCATCAAGGGTAAATAGAATTAATTTAATATACCTGTATATAGTGGATTTCTTGTTTTTACTGTCCACTCATTGGCCCTTAACCCCATGAGTCACATTCATCACTCATTCACACAAATGCTTCTATATGCATATATTGTAACCTACAATATGTGTTTGTTTTACAATAACAGCATTCAACAACATTGGTGGGGTTAAAGCACTCAAAAGTGATGTATTTTTCATAAAGAACTGACATGACAGATCATATGATGTGGCATGTAAAATGATTCACTGATTGTGAGAAACTGAAGAACAATATGGATCGAGGCTGATGGAAGAGTGGCTGCAGCTGTGGTTAATGAAACCATGAACAGGTGTGACTGGGTGTAGCAGGATTGAGAAGTAGAAATTAACAGTGGAAAAGTACTGGGGGATGTGGCTGGCAGCATTGAAATACAACAGGGTACAAAACCTGCATACAAAAACAATGAACCAAAGAAAGACAAACTCAAAACAGAAAACACAAAATCTGCCATAAAAAAACAACAATTAAGAAACACAGATTGTGAAGTAAATTAAAAATTGTAAGAATATCACATTATTTGCGTAGATTTGATCAAGTTATTTTGCTTTTGGCTGCTCCCTTCTGCAAGGGTCGCCACAAACTCATCTAAAAGATCCGGCCATTGTTTTATGCTGAATGTCCTTCCTAACAGCCTGCACTCTCTGTTACCCTTAGTGTTAAGCACTTTGATAACAGTCTATCTGTTTTAAATTGTGCTCTATAAATAAGTATGACTTGACTTGACTTGACTCTAAACCTGCAGCTTGGGGATAACAAGGACATGGCACTGAGCATCGAGCTACTAAAGCCCCCTGGCTTTCATTGAGTAATGATTCTTGATTGCAAGCGTATGTTTATTGGACATCTTTTTACCTGAAGCACTTTGAACTTAGACCAACACATTTGAGGTTTGACCTCTTGACAGGTGAACTTGGGCAAAAACATGCTCTGATGTCACAATGTTACACATACCAGAGGCTGGAGCTCAGCCACTCGCAGCCCTGAGCCCAGCAGGACAAATGACATGGGCCCGCCTACTCCCACCAACACACCATCTGCTAGTGCAGCACTGTGCATCCTCTGAGCACACACTGCTGCACAGGCACTCAGACACAAACATGCAAGGACTTTTAATTTTCAAAGAGATTCTAAGACGGATAAGGTCATTGCCGGCCAAACTGCTTATCTGGAACGGAGCACACTCAGCCTAGATGGACAAGAAGGGCGAACAGATGTCATGAAAGTGACAGGGGGTAATAACAAGTCAGCATTTGCCTGAATCATGTTTTACTGCAGTGCTTTTTTGTCAACGGTAATCACTCAAACTCTGACACAATCTCCAGGTGTGACTTTTCAATTTGCATAAAAAGATTGGAAGGAGTTTCATAACCTGGTTGTCCACTTTGGTCTGGACCAACTTTGTAGTCATACAAGTTTAAATGGGTGCAAATGCCTATTAACTGCAACATCAGTTTTAATGCAGGGCGAATGTAGCCAGAGCTGATGATAATTCCCATTACAATTTTTTGTTAGCCAAAAACCAGTTAGCTGTAATCTTTTTTAGTCATTGGTAGCAGGGACCAGTATATATATATATA